TATCAAATAAAACACCTCTTTGAGGTAAAATTTTCGAGGGACGAAAGCTGAACTAGAAACACAAAATTTATGATATCAATTTCGTGACGAAAATTATACGCATTTTTTAACTGCCTTTGAAACGTACTGAAAATCTTTTTTTATTTATTCGAAACGTTGCGTTTACTGCTAGAAACACAAAATAAAAAACAGAACTTATGCAACAACTCGTATGAATAAAAAAGATTTTCCCTACGTTTCCAAGGCAGTTAAAAAATGCGTAGAATTTTCGTCACGAAGATGATATCATAAATTTTGTGTTTCTAGTTCAGCTTTCGTCACTCGAAAATTTTACCCCAAAGAGGTGTTTTATTGGATTAGACTGACCAGAAATAAATGAGAGTGCTTCTTCTTTGACCTGTTGACTTTTTAGCTTTCATTATGGTTAAAAACTATTCCCTGAAAATTTGGTCCAAGAATATTATAATTTAGAGGTCTCGCGTGGACGCCTAAAGTGGTTAAAATTCCTCTTCCTTCAATCCGTGCGCACACGAAATTGATGTTTTAAGGGCTTACAACATGTTTTCAAGATCGCTGAGACCAAGAGATAGAAAATGCTCGTAAAGAAACAGGTTTTAAGGTGCGCAACGTTTCCAACATCAAAAATAAAAACATCCCTCAACCGATGTTCAAAATAGAATTAGAACCTGACAATCATAACCTGAAGAAAGGGGAAGTGCCTCAAATATATCAATTGCGATATCTTCTACACTGTAAAATCTCCGTAGAAGAACCTCATAAGCGTAGATGCCCTGTTCAATGTCACAACTGCCAGGAATTTGGTTACAGACGTCGCTACTGAACCTTACCTGGTGTCCGGGTTGTCTGTGGGGATTTACACACTTCTAAAGAATGTGTGAAACCAGAGGTCGAAAATAACCCTCCCCACTTTGAAAGTGCCCCAAACTAACCGTCATTTTTTAAGAAAAAAATAACCCACAAATCAGAACAGGTTGTTTACTTTTTGTAGATGTTGCTGTTGGACCCGGACACTTAATGCTGGAAGAGAAAAAATAAGTGTCAGAGCGCGGGCACGCAGGGTGCCGTAGAAGTGCGTAGAATCATATCAAATTTGCTGTTGATAGAGAGAGAGACAGAAAGCCACCGTCAACGTCACGGTCATGCGGTGGTAGGGTTGCGTGATTTTAAATCCTTACCGATTTAAAATCCCTTATCAATTAAAAAATACTAGTGAACCAGCATGGCGTTAAAACGCCCAAAATTTTATTTCAAAAACTTAAAAAATATTCCAAATTTTAGTCAGAGTTATAAGAGATCCGAGTGCCATATTTCATCAAAGCCTTGCAGCCGTTTCTGAGTGAAGAGCAGTCTTGCATAGTGAATGTTTTTATTTTCATCGAATTTCAAATCACCCTATACCGATGACAAAAGTTCGTAATTGAAAAAATAAAACTTTATCATATATCTATAGGCTAAGGTCTCCAAGTTGACCTCTCATTTTTTAAATTCCTTTCCAAAATTATTCTCAAACTAAAATCTTCTGACATTGTGATACCCATGTATTTCAATAAACTGATGAGATAATTCGAATTTGATTGTTCGAACAAATGACAACCCTCTTAAGTAAAGGACAGGAATAAATTCCATTCAAACCCATTTCGATGTATACCCATCTTTTAATAATTCATCCAACTTACTGAATAATTTGAATGTAACTTTTTAAACACCTGGCAACTCTTTTCAAACATTCGAAATGTTCAAACTACAGATTTCTTAACATTCTTTCGTTTGACTACGGTATTTTTATATTTAATATACTTTTTGAATTAGTTACTGGAGTTAGACCTTTCAAACAGGTGGCAGCCCTCTTCAAGAGTATTTTCAAGCTTAATCATTGTTAACTCTCCTCCGCCGGACACTGCGATATATATTTTAATTAACTGATGAATTAAGTAGAATATTAATTTTCAAACATGTGGCAACCCCCGTTCATAAATAGAAAATTTTCAAATCCCTTTTAATGGATACCAATATTTTAATAATTCATTTAACTTGTGAAGTAATTTGAAT